TGAGTTCATAGTTAAATGAAATCGCTGATAAAATGATTCATTAACCCATTAGTTTAGCTTGGAAGCACCCGAGTCAAATATCCTGTCTAAAGCTTCTGCCTTTATCATATATTATCATCATCCGAACCATTTGTTTGTCATTTGCATCTTTACTTAGTTTAAATCTCATCTCTTGTTTCATTTACATGCTCATTTACTTGTTAAATAGTTTAGTTAAAACCCTTATCATTCTCTCTTGACTTAAGATCACAAGTAACATAGATTAGTGTCTCCACTACAAGTTTGGTTTGATAACCCCTTGTACTACAAGGACAGGGGTATTGATAACCTCTACAAAGAGTGAAAACTCTTAGTTATCAAGGATTGGAGCAGGCCGATATCACTTTGATCCATATGTGTGGGGTGAGCCTGAATACCACACCAAGAAGCTGTATTCGTGAGTGAACACCCTCTAAAAGTGGTGTAAGTGGCAAGACAAGACCATTCATGCGTTGGTGGACTGTGTAAGGCACCTGAAAAAGAAAGTCAAGCAACTCACCAGACCATCTTCACCGGATAAGAACTCGGCGACCTCAACCGCACCGATTACACAAGAAGAGGTTGGGGAAAGCTCAAACGCGAGGAACCCGGAGTTTCCACCAGGCAAAGAGGACTGGATCGATCCTGCCAAGACTTTCTTACCTGAACCCTCGGAGAGCAGCCCACCACGTCAGTCCACACCCTCCTGCTCAACGTCAAATCCCTCGTACTACTTGGGATCAGAGCTCTCAGACTGAGGTATCGACTTCAAACCTTGTAAATATGCATCTTGTATATATCATATTGCATCCATTTAGTTTATCTTTTTACTTCTCTCACATGCTTTTATAACACATGGGACTGTGTTATTTAAGTGTGGGGGAGGAGCTTTGTGTTTTCTGATCTTGTTTTCTTTGTTCTTATTTGACTTTTGCATTCTTGAGTCTCATTTAGCTTAGTGTATATGATAAACTTGAAAAATTTCACAAAAAAAAAATGCATCATTCAAGTTGCATCTCGCATTCTAAGACCGAGTCTAGTTGCATCATGTAGTATTGTATCAGTGCAAGGAGCAATGATAGATTTTTTCCTAGAGAGCAAATCACTTGAGAACTTGAACTAAATATGCTTGTGAAACTCATTCTGTGCTTGTAAAGCTTGAAACGATTTGAATCTGAGAAGCAAGTTTGAATTACACTCAACTCTAACTAAGTGATAACCCTGAACTTGAATTGAAAATATCTTTTGATGCATTGCTTAAATAGGCTTGTGGATACCGATATACATACTTGAGCTAGAATCGTTGTTTTTACCACCCTCCTTCCTTAGCTCAAGTAGCTGAATCCGCATCATGGATCAGTTCCCTCACCTTGAACCCATCTTTCTTTCGAGCCAATGTTTGTGTGTGAATTGTAAGGCCACCTTGGACTGAACTTAGCAGAAAGTGTTAGGTTTAGAGCGACAAGGGCATGTCTCATTAAGTGCTATGTTCCAACATCAAGGAACTGAGAGTATTGGCAAGGAATAAGTGTGGGGGAAAAGACTTGTTGGTGAGTAGAAAAAGGTGAGTTAAGTGGAAAAGAGAAAGTGGAAATAGCTAGGGGGATGAAAGAAAAAGAATTGAGTCTTGGATTTGAAAAGATGAGCTCTGATGTTTTTTTTAAAAGAAAAATTTAGTCTCTGAAATGAAAAGAAGCCAAAAAGGCTCAAGTGTTCTAAAAAGAAAGAGGCTAGAAGCTGTGAAAGATAAGAGCCGTGTGAGCAAGTGAACTCCAAGACCCGAGAATGAAAACAAAAAGTGAGTCCCCTAGTGAAAAGAAAACGATTGAGAAGAGTGAGGAATTTGAGAGGGTGAGCAAGTGAGGAAGCTTTGAGTGGAGTGTGGGGTGAGATGAGTCTTTTCCCTTGTATGCATAGGTTGCTTTTTACCTTTAGCATTCTGCCGAATTTTGGTCGTTCACAGAGAGATCCCTTTGCTGCATTTCACCCGCTTGAATATTGATGAGATCATTTTTATCTCATGATTCACCGGTTACGAACTTAATGAATGTGAAAGAGTTGAATTTGATGAGAACTTGTGGAGATTCCGTGCTTTAGTTGGTAAATATCTGAGCATAGCTTTGCATTGCATATTTGAGCATGAATCCGAGTTCTTATTGTGATCACTTCTCTCTAAAAAGGAAATATGAGCTCCATTTGCACTACAACCTCTTTCTCTCATTTGTTCTTTTCGCTTGAGGACAAGCAAAGGACAAGTGTGGGGGAGTTGATAGGTCTATATTATACATCATCTAGGTTGCATTTTAGAGTCCTCATCATGTGTTTTCCCATGTAAATTGAGTCTTTAGGCATCAAAATAGGATTTAGGGCTTGCATTAGGTCCCAAAGAGTTTTGCATGTTTTGAAGTCTTTATCAGGTGCTTTGGAAGCCATTTGGAGCTTAAGAAGAGGAGCAGAAAAAGAAACGGTGAAGAAAAGGGTCAAAAATGGTGAAAACCGCTTAGAGGAATTTCTCGGCCAAAACTCGTACCGGCTGGACAGAAACCTCGGTCAAAAAGCTTACCGGACGGTCATTATTGGCCAAAATCCTTACCGATCGACCAAAATCGGGCAAGGTCGAGTATCAGGTGCAAATTACCTCGGGTTAAGTTTTTGGCCGAGGCGAGAGGAATTTTACGGCTAAAAAGCTACCCGCGGTACTTAGCCCTCGGTCATTTTCCTTAGCTCGGGAAGCTTTTCTCGGCTAAAACCTGTCCTTGCCCGCGCATTTCAAAGATCAGCAATCCGGGGAACCTTCCGGTCCGAATCAGTTGGCGGGGTCTTCATCAAAGTTGGAGATAATCAAGCAAAGATCCCGGAACAATTAGAATCATCCAATTCGGACCAGTGAGGAGAAAGATACGGCTTCCGGAAGAAGCATCAGTATTGCGCGTACTCGAGAACCGAACAGCGGATTTCAAAGATCACGACGGACGGAGCCTTTCCGGTCCGAACTAGCTTGCTCGGTCTTCATCAAAGTTTGAGATCTGTGAAAGATAAGGTCTCCGGATTTCACATCTGTCCAAGAGCTTATTTTCCGATGATTCCAATGCGGCGCAAAGATGTGAAATCCAGGAAACCTTCCACTTCCCAAGCTCCGACGGTTTCTTCACCAAAGTTCGATCTTATTGAGTCATCTTGACTATGGAACTGGTCTCAGAGCAATTGGAGTCGTGTGTTGAAAGTTACTGCTTCCGGAAGGCGAGATGGTCGACACAAGCCTAAATGAGTCGCGATACGCGCTAAGTATTTTCTCAGGCCTCGGCATCATCACCTCGACATTGCTCAAGTCAAGGCTCATATCTTGGGAGTATTTTGGACTATACCTCGTGCTAACGCCTCGGCACATTGGGATCAAGGCATGCACACGTAAGAAATGAAGCTAGAAATGACTAAGTGTTGAACGTGCACCTCGGTGTAATGGCCTCGGCGTGCATGCCGGACTCTGTTCTCCCGAGCCCCTCGACTACCAAGCCCCGCGACATTCTATGGCGAGGTCCCTTGTCACAACCCCAGAATCAAGAATAAGACGGCTCAAGAACACACACATGAAAATGGATCAAAGACTAGGGTTCGTGCATGTTCTTGACGTGTTCTTCACAAGATCTCCATTTGGATCTTGGCTCACGTGCACTCCTCGACATAAAGACCTCGGCTTCACTCTCCGACACACCGTGGCACTCACCCATCAACCCGAGAAAGCGGCTCAGTACCCGGTTTGTTCCGGGCTGACCCGCGACACTTTCCCTTTGCTATAAATACATTTTAGGACCAAAAATACCTAATCATCTTATCTCTTATCATCTTTTAGCTTTGAGAACTTGCCTCTTTTGTGAAACTTAATTAATCTAATCTGAAATCTCGTTTTTGCATCAGAATCTTGTTCTTTCTTTATTTCCTTTATCATCCAGCATCAAACTCCTTATCATGACTAGCTACACGTCTTGCAAAGGACTGAGTGAGCTCGTTATGATCAGTGAGTAGTCGTTTCAGCGGCTTTAGATAGGTAGATTAGGGTGCTTTCAAGATAGATCAGTGGGTTTAGGTGTCTAGTCTTGCATGTTTCATTCTTTAACCGACGAGATCTCTAAGCTGGATCCAGGCACATCACTTGAGGTTCAGATCTGAGACATATCTCGCATCAAAAGTGTTTGTAGAAATGTCTGAACCACTCGGTTAAAGGTTTAAGAGTCTTTCATCGCGAGAGTGATAGTTTGTTCTCTTAAATGACATTTTTGAACTGAATCTTATTGCTGACTGATTCATGCTTCTCAAAAGGGATTTTGGTATGAAAGAGGGTCAGTTTAGATGTTTAATACTTTCATGAGAAGATTAACATGCCTTGAGTTCAAAGTTAAATGAAATCGCTTGATAAAATGATTCATTAACCCATTAGTTTAGCTTGGAAGCACCCGAGTCAAGTATCCTGTCTAAAGCTTCTGCCTTTATCATATATTATCATCATCGAATCATTTGCTAGTCATTTGCATCACTACTTTGTTTAAATCTCATCCCTTGCTTCATTTTTATGCTCATTCACTTGTTAATTAGTTTAGCTAAAACTCTTATCATTCCATCTTGACTTAAGATTACAAGTAACATAGATTAGTGACTCCATCACAAGTTTGGTTTGATAACCCCTTGTACTACAAGGACAGGGTTATTGATAACCTCTTTAAAGAGTGAAAACTCTTAGTTATCAGTCTACCCGGAGAGGATCCTCTAGAGCATCTAGATCAATTTGATCGAGTTTGCGACCTGACAAAGATAAACGGGGTATCAGAAGATAGTTTCAAGCTACGCCTGTTCCCATATAGCCTCGGTGATAAAGCTCACCAGTGGGAAAAGAACTTCCCGACGGGTTCTATACAAATGTGGGAGCAATGCAAGCTGGCGTTCTTGTCCAAGTTCTTCTCCACTTCACGCACGGCAAAGCTGAGGAATCATATTTCTAGTTTCACTCAACATGAAAACGAAAGCTTTAGTGAAGCTTGGGAACGGTTTAGAAGCTATACCAACCAATGCCCACACCACGGCTTCTCGGAGGCCTCCCTCCTGAGTACCCTATACCGAGGTGCTCTCCCCAAGATCAGAAACCAACTAGATACAGCCTCAAATGGAAATTTTCTTGGGAAAGAGATCAATGCGGCAATGGAACTAGTGGAGAACCTTGCCATGTCTAATGACACGTATGGAGAAGATTTTGACAGGGCAAACCGATCAGAGGGATCTAGTAAGGAACAGCACATTGAAAATGATATAAGAGAGCTACAGAGCAAGCTTGACAAGGTTCTCATGGCTACACAAAAGCCAATACACTTTATAGGCGAGTTTGATGAGCAAGGGCCAAGCTTTGATAATGTCAATGAAGATGGTCTAACACAAGAAGAGATAAACTACATAGGGAATCAACAAAGATATCAGCGGTTTAACAACTTTGGAAACAACCCAAACCTCTCTTACCGAAACACAAACATAGCTAATCCTCAAGACCAAGTGTACACTGCTCAACAACACCAACAAAGCTATGCTCCTAAAGCTCCATTTCAGAACAGCTTTCAGCCCAAGCAACAGTTCAGTGGGCAACAACAGAGTTATAGTCAGCAGAATCAACCGGCACCGAGCAACAACTTCAGCAGCCAACCACAGCAGCATAAGTTTCCACCAGGGTTCAATCTGCAGCCGTTGGGTAATCAGCAACAGAACCAGGGAACGGCTCAGAATCAGATGGGGCCTGACGTCTGTGGGCTTCTGCAGCAGCAGTTACAAGGGCAACAACGAGTTGAGAGCCAGCACGCAACAATGCAACAGGATATCCGGGAGCTTAAGCAGAATCAAGCTTATACATCATCAAGAGGTCCGACTTTACCAGGTAAGCCGGAGCCTAACCCCAAGGAGTATGTGAACGCCATCACATTGAGGAGTGGAAAAGAATTACAAGCTCCAGCACCTAAAACAAAGCTCATTGAGGACAATGAGCAAATTGGTGGGGAGGCAGCCTCAAATGATGCGCAAGAAGAAGAGGCCTTGGAGAAAAAACCGGTTAAAGACAAAGGTAAAGAGGTGGAGAAGACACCTGAGCTTGAAAAGCCATATGTTCCACCACCACCTTATCAGCCCAAGATACCATTCCCAGGGAGTTTCAAGAAACAAATCCTAGATAGAGCCAAAGCGGTCTTTGAGAAACACTTGGAGAACACGCAAATGACCTTGCCTATCATAGACGCTTTCTTAGCTATACCTCAGCTTGTAAAGTTTCTAAAGGATGCCATTCTCAACAAGAGAAAGGAGCTCCAGGGTATGGTGATATTGAGTCACGAGTGCAGCGCCATCATTCAAAGGAGATCTATACCAAGAAAGCTATCCGATCCGGGAAGCTTTACTTTGCCGTGTGCCATAGGTCACTTGAAGTTCTCAAGTTGCTTGTGTGATCTAGGAGCTTCTGTGAGCTTAATGCCTTACACGGTGGCCAAGAGATTGGGGTTTAAAAGCTATAAGCTGGCCAAGATCTCCCTTGTATTAGCTGATAGATCGGTGAGATTACCGGTGGGTTTGCTTGAAGATCTGCCTTTGAGAATCGGAGAAATAGAGATCCCCACTGACTTCATAATTCTTGAGATGGATGAGGAGCCTGTTGATCCCATCATCTTGGGAAGACCGTTCTTAGCCACAGCAGGAGCGATCATTGACGTGAGAGGAGGCATGATCGAGCTGCACATCGGTTCCGAGACTATGAAGTTTGACGTGAAGGAAATGATGAAGAAACCGACCATTGGAGGTCAGGTTTTCTATGTGGAAACCATGGAGGAGCTAGCTGATAAGCTCCTAGAGGATTTAAACGCAGAAGACCCGTTACAAGTGGTCTTAACGCGAGAACAAAGCGAGCATGGGTATTTGAACGAGGAAAGCGAGGTGTACAAGCGTCTTCTGGACCAACCGAAGGAACTTGGAGCTGAGACGAGGTTTTTGGAGCTCAGAAAGAGTGGCCTCGACATTTTAGACATCGGGAGTCCAACTGTTGGGGAGACAACTCGGGGTATCATGGCCGCGACATCTTATGCCGAGGTCAGTGGTAAACCGCGCGAGAAAGAAATGGCCGAGGAGGCTGTTCCATGGCAATGCAACTTCGAAGCTGATAGGAATGAGGCTTATGCACCCCCTGTTGAGCTCAAGCCTTTACCAACAGGGCTGAGGTACGCTTTCTTAGGCTTAAATTCTTCATATCCCGTGATCGTCAACGATAACTTGTTGGAGCATGAAGAGCGTGCATTGCTTAGTGTGCTTAGAAAGTACAGGAGAGCCATAGGGTATTATTTGGCTGATATTAGAGGGATCTCTCCTGACATATGCACCCACAGGATACACCTAGAAGACCAAGCTATGTCTTCTATTAAGCATCAACGACGTCTTAACCTAAACCTCAAGGAGGTGGTTAAGAAGGAGATACTCAAACTCCTTGAGGCAGGGATAATTTACCCAATCTCTGACTCAAGGTGGGTATCTCCTGTTCACGTTGTGCCCAAGAAAGGTGGGATCACGGTGGTTAAAAACAAAAAGGATGAGCTTATAGCCCAAAGAACCATAACCGATCATCGCATGTGCATAGACTATAGAAAACTGAATTCTGCTTCTAGAAAAGATCATTTCCCTTTGCCATTCATGACCCAATGCTTGAGAGGCTAGCTAATCATCCTTATTTTTATTTTTTTGATGGGTACTCGGGTTTCTTTCAAATCCCCATAGATCCCCGAGATCAAGAGAAAACAACATTTACATGCCCTTATGGCACTTATGCTCATAGAAGAATGCATTTTGGTCTTTGTAATGCACCGGCTACTTTTCAAAGGTGTATGATGCATATCTTCTCTGACCTCATTGAAGAGAAAGTGGAGGTGTTCATGGACGATTTTTCTGTCTACGGCTCCTCTTTCTCCGATTGTCTTTCTAACTTGTCTCAGGTTTTAAAGCGATGTGAGGAGCACAGACTCGCCTTGAACTGGGAGAAATGCCATTTCATGGTTCAAGAAGGGATTGTCTTGGGTCACAAGGTATCCGAGAAAGGCATAGAGGTGGACAAAGCCACGATCGACGTTATGGTGAACCTACAAGCTCTGAACTCGATGAAAGGAATAAGAAGCTTCCTTGGCCACGCAGGGTTTTACAGAAGATTCATCAAAGATTTCTCTAAAATAGCTCGACCCTTGACGAGGCTATTGTGCAAAGAGGTTGAGTTTATCTTTGATGATGAATATTAGGAAGCTTTCAAGAGGATCAAGGAGGCATTGATCAGTGCACCAATTGTCCAGGCCCCTGATTGGTCATTACCCTTCGAAGCGATGACGGATGCATCGGATTATGCCGTGGGAGCTGTCTTGGGGCAAAAGAAAGATAAGAAGCTCCATGTGATTTATTACGCGAGCCGCACATTGGACTCAGCTCAAGAAAAGTACGCTACACCGAGAAAGAAATGCTGGCCATTGTGTTTGCGTTTGATAAGTTCAGGAGCTACCTCGTGGGATCAAAGGTCATAGTCTATACAGACCACGCAGCTTTGAGATACCTCATGACCAAGAAAGATGCAAAGCCGAGGCTTCTTAGATGGGTTTTGTTGCTTCAAAAGTTTGATATGGAGGTGCTTGATAAGAAGGGTATTGAGAATGGAGCTGCCGACCATCTCTCAAGGCTAAGAATTGAATAACAAGTACCTATAGACGATGCCTTGCCCAAGGAGCATCTCATGCTAGTCAAGACCTATTTAGAAGTGGAGGAAGCCAACACGATCAGGGAAAGGAACCTACCATGGTTTGCGGATCTTGTGAACTAATTGTCATGCGGTTTAGAGCCACCAGAGCTAGATTCCTATCAGAGAAAGAATTTCTTTAGAGATGTGATGATATATCATTGGGATGAGCCATACTTATACGTGCTTAATAAGGACCATCTCTATAGGCGGTGCTTAGCTGAGGAAGAGATTTACCCAGTGCTACAAGAATGCCACGGTTCAGTTTACGGTGGCCACTTAGGTGCTTTCAAGACGGTGGCCAAGGTTTTACAAAGTGGTTTTTGGTGGCCGACTATGTTTAGAGACGCTCAGAGTGTTGTTTCAAGGTGTGAAGCTTGTCAAAGGCACGGCAACATATCCAAGAGGAATGAAATGCCTCAGAACCCGATTCTTGAAGTCGAGGTCTTCGACTGTTGGGGCATCGATTTCATGGGTCCCTTTGTAAGCTCATATGGGAATCAGTATGTACTTGTTGCTGTGTACTATGTGAGCAAGTGGGTAGAAGCGGTTGCATCTCCAACCAATGATTCGAAAGTTGTGGTAAAACTCTTCAAGAGCACCATTTTCCCAAGGTTTGGAGTCCCAAGGGTAGTTATCAGTGATGGAGGTAGCCATTTTATCAACAAGACTCTTGAGAGTCTTTTGAAGAAGCACGGAGTGAAGCACAAGGTGGCTAGCCCTTATCATCCTCAAACGAGCGGTCAAGTGGAGTCTCAAACCGCCAGATCAAGGCTATTTTGGAGAGGACCATGAGCTCATCTAGGAAAGATTGGAGCAAAAAGCTTGATGATGCTTTGTGGGCTTACATGACAGCGTACAAAACCCCCATTGGAACCTCACTATTTAACTTGCTCTATGGGAAAAGCTGTCATTTACCAGTGGAGCTAGAGTACAAAGCCTTGTGGGCAGTGAAGCTTTTGAACTTTGACATCAAGACGGCTCAGGAAAAGAGAGTTCTACAGCTTCATGAGCTTGAGGAAATTCGTTTAGACGCTTTTGAGAGCTCTAAAATCTACAAAGAAAGAACCAAGGCGCTCCATGACAAGAAGATACACAAGAGAGAGTTCAAAGAAGGGGACCAAGTTCTGTTGTTCAACTCGAGACTTAAGCTGTTCCCTGGAAAGCTAAGGTCTAGGTGGTCCGGTCCGTTTACAGTCCTTGAAGTGAGGCCATATGGAGCCGTTGTTTTAAAAGGAAAAGATGGACAAGGCTTTGTTGTGAACGGTGATAACACAGTATTTTGACCACTTTTATGGA